TTTTAGATGGGTTTCTACCTGGTTTAGGGTTTAGGGTTAGGGAGGTCCATGGGGTTATAGAGGACTCAGTGCGGGGTTTTAGATGGGTTCAAGGTGTAGGGTTTAGGGTTAGGGAGGTCCATGGGGTTACAGGGGGCTCTGTGCGGGATTTTAGATGGGTTTCTACCTGGTTTAGGGTGTAGGGTTGAGGGTTAGGGATGTCTATGGGGTTATATCGGGCTCTGTACGGTTTTAGATGGGTTTCTACGTGGTGTCATCGTAGTTTTGCTGGCAGAGTGTTCAGGGAGTCCTAGGGGGAGTAAGGGGCTGAGCGAAGTGCATGATGAAAATGTCCCACGCCCTCAAAGACCACGAGGGAAATCAACTTCCCATGATATATAGGGGCCTTAACAATTACCTATACTATGTTGGGGTCTCCTTATTATGGCTATATATAACATAATATACCCCTATTCTAATTATTAAGGCCCCTGCATTTAAGCCCCAAGCCCTGAAAGTTTTCAGGAAGCTTCAACCTCTCCTACCCGGAAGAACCCTTGGCTCTTTCTCTGCATACGACCTCCTCAACCCTACACGCTTAATCTTTCTACCCCAACTTATATACCGTTAAAACCCTCCACCCTTAATCTCTACACTTTAACTTTATACCCTAAAGCAAGCCTAACAATACTACACCCTTCACTTTAAACCCAAACCCTCAAACCCTACACCCCTGACTTAAACCCTAAACCTCAAACCCTACACCCTGCACCTAGACCCTAACGCAAGGCTGAACCCCAAACCCTCAAACCTCCGCCCCGAAGTCCGAGGTAGTACTAGGGAGACCCCTTAAAGGGGACCCTTCTTAACCCTAACCCTACTTCCTGGCTTTCTTAAAGGTCCCTATATCCCCAAGGGTCCCCTAAACCCTAAACCCTAAACCCTAATCCTAACTCCTACGAAGGAGCTCGCCGACCTCGTGTTCGGCACCGACTCCGCTGCGCTGCCGCAGGGGCAGCCTACAGAGCAGGCGTCTCGCTCTCACGGGGTTGAGGGCTTTAGGGTTTAGAGTTTAGGGTTTAGGGTTTAGGGCTTTAGGGTTTAGGGTTTAGGGTTTGGGTTGAGGGCTTTAAGTTTGGGCTCTTGGGGTTCATGGGGTTGGGGCATTAGACTTGTTGGGTTTAGGGATTTCAGAAGCTGGTTGTTCAGTTTCTACCTGTTACAAAACTGAGTGTGTTTGGAATCAGGGCTGCGTAAGGTAGAACTGTGCTTTGTAGCCTTATTGACTTAATGATTTTGCGAGTCACCCCTCATCCCGAAACCCTAGCCCGAATCTCTAAATGGGTAGTTCTCTAAATTAGGGTACCTTCTGGGCCCTTTTCTTTATAAGCTTGCCGTACTCTATTGGGGACCCAAAAAGGGGCCCTAGCTTAGAGAACTACCCAAATAATAAACCCCCAATCATGTCTTGGAGGTTCGCATGTTTGGAGGTTCTGGGGTTATAAGTCCCCTAATATGGGTTATAAGTATAGCTACCCTCCTTATAGCCCCAGTTATAACTACCCATGAACCTCCAAGTGGGGTTTAGGAGTTTAGTTAGGGTTTAGGGTTTAGGGGTACGAGCTTGTGAATCGGCTCCTTTAAAACCTACAATTTCCCTTGAAACGAACAGGTAGCTTCCATAATCCTGCCTTGCAGGTTCCGAAACCCTTAAACCTTCAGCCCTACACCCTAAACTTTACCCCCGAACCTCTTGCCTCAAATCCTAGGTCCCTATAAAATCATGGTAGCAATCGTGGTAGTAGCAGCAGTGGTAGTAGTGGTAGTAGTACTGTTGATGAGATAAATCCTGCATTACCTTAAGGACCCTGAACTATGGGAATTATGGTATATTCCTTATTATGGGAAATGCAAGATTTATATCATCAACCCTAAACCCTACAAACCCCTAAACCCGCCTCAAGCCCCTAAACCCTAAAACCCCTAAAAGCCCCTAAACCGGGTACCTAATGCAGGGTTTACATCATCAACCGTAGGAGTAGTTCTCGCATGTTTGGTGCTTAGTAGGGAATGGGGGGATGGGTTATAGGGACACTATAAGGGACCTTAGGGGACTATCATAGGGATCCATTCCCCCAATCCCTACTAAGCACCAGACAGTCGCAGGTAAACCTTAAACCCTTAACCCTAAACCCTAAACCTTAAACCCTAAACCCTAAACTCTAAACCCTAAACCTTAATCCCTAAACCCTAAACAATAATCCCTAAACCTCGCAGGCTCTCAAGGCCATCCTGACCGACCCCGAGTTGGCCAAGAAAGCGATCAACCTGACAATGACCACCCTCAGCCGAGGCAACGGGCACATTAGGTTTAGGGTTTAGGGTTTAGGGTTTAGGGTTTAGGGTTTAGGGTTAGGGGGCCTTAATCTGACCACCCTCAGCCGAGGCAACGAGCATCTAAAAGGGGCCTTAATAGTTTTTGTTATAGGGTTTTGGGGGTACACTATACTATATGTATAATAAGAGGGGCCTTAATAGTTGTTTATAGAGTTTTGGGGGTACACTATACTATATGTATAATAAGGAGCCCCCAAGATAATATTGGTAATTATTTAGGCTCCCATATTGGCTACTGTAGACTAGAGGGTAAATGAATAGTTCTCCAAACACGGGTCCCTGTTCTAGGACCCCGAAATAGCACGGCACTCGTTCAAAGAAGACCTTGAAACGGACCCTAACTTAGAGAACTACCCAAGCGAGGGAAATAAGGGGTACCACAAAAGTTACTTTCAGGGTTACCACAAGGGGTACTGTCAGGGGCTACTCTAGGAATATCAGAGGCCATGCGCTTGGCTACTGTTGTCAGGGGTACCTCAAGGGTGAAATGACGCTTACTATAACAAGGGTAATAAGGGAAATATAACAAGGGCATTGGGAGGGGCACCTTAAAGGGGTCAGAGAACACGTGCTTCGGTTTCAGAGGGAAAGAAATACTACAAGGGTTTTTGTAACAGTCAGTATACAGGTTCCGGCAAGAAGTGCTATGAGAGTTCTTCAGGGTTTGGGGTTTCAAGGTTTCAAGATGTCCTTTTGGGCCTGTTCAGGCCTGGCGATGCATCGGCTTCGCCCGGTTTTGCTGAATGTCGGAAGGTGTGATGTCGAGTTGCACCTAGCGTTCGGCCATAGGCACACGTACCTGTATAGATGTACGCATATACACATGACCGTAGAAGTGCGCCGTGTGTATCAACAAGACGTGTATATATATATATATGGAGATATAGAAACTGATTTATGTGTGTATTTGTTTGTTTACTTGTTCATTTGTTCATTTAAGTAATACATATACATATACATATACATACATATCAGTGGCTTTCCACCGTCACGGTCGAGGCGTCTCGAAGCTGGCAGCTGGCAAGACCTTCGCCGACGAGGTGTTTGGTTCGGACACCAGCCGCCTGCGACTTCGGCGAAACAGTGAGGGTTTAGGGTTTAGGGTTTTACGGTTTAGGGTTTTAGGGTTTAGGGTTTGGGGCTTTAGAGTTTAAGGTTTAGGGTTTAGGGTTTAGGGGTCTTCGGGTTTAGGGTTTCGGTGTTTTTAGGGTTTAGGGTTTTAGGGTTTCGGGGAAGGAGCCCTTCGCCTTGAACTTCAGAGCCTTCAAAACCAAAGTCCTAACACCATGGACCCTAAACCCTGAACCCGAAACCCCAAGCCTTCAAGCCTGAACAAACAACCACAGAGGTAAGCCCTGAACATTGAGTCTTAAACCATGAAGCCCTAACCCTAAACTGTAACGAAGCCCTGCCGATGTTCCCATCGCCTTGCATTCCCTACCCGAAATCAAAACCCCTAAACCCTAAACCCCTGAACCCCTAAACCCTAAATCCATGTGAACAACCTGAGATTGGCGTCTTTTCGGAGGGCAAGTTGGGACACATTACAGGCCTTCGGCGCTTAACCTGGAGGTTTGAGGTTTGGGAACAATCTGGGTTTAGGGTTTAGGGTTTAGGTGTCTTGCTTATCTTAACAAGGGGATGAAGCTAACTCCGCTAGGACTTCTACCACGAAGCCCTGAAGGGAGGCAAATTTGTACGCAAGCCCAACAAGCCGCAGGAAGAGTTCCTCCGACCCATCAACATGTGCCGATGTTGGATAAGTTTAAACTTTCCTTAGGGGTACTTAGAATTGATTTTAAATTTTGGCTACTATAAACCCTAAGAAGCAGCTAAAAATATAATGTTTGCTAGGGGTCTAAGTTCAGTATAGATTTCCTTCTTGATTACCGTAGAGATTCAATTTCAAACTATGTCAGGGCTGTGGAAATCCACAAAAAGTTTGCCAAAAAGGGATGCTGAGGCACCTGGTCACTATAGAAGCCTCAATCATGAGAAACCTGCTTACTTCGTATAGAAGCCTCAATATTGAGAAGCATTCTTACTTCGGGTTGTTTGGCTGAAGGTTGCTATAGTATACTTACTACGAAGTTACCCAAAAGCCCTACTCCAATATTATTAAGGCCCCTGCATTACTTTGCCGACACGAAAGTATACCACAGAATACCCTAAACCCCTACAGAACCCATTAAAACGGAACCATATTCCAGTTATGAAGGCCCCTGCATTACTTTAAACCCCTATAGAACCCATTAAAACGGAACCATATTCCAGTTATGAAGACCCTGCACTACTTTGCCCGACAACTCAGGATCGGGGAGGCATTTCATCCCACGGAAGCTCCCGAGGAGGAGCTACCCAGCGCCATCGTGCCTGAGAAAGCAACTTCGGCTGGGACTCGGAGGAAGGAAACCTGACTCAAGGTTTTGAGGCTCAAAGGGTTCAGAGCGTGGTGAGCAGTAAGTACTTTACGTATATACATATATATATATATATGTGTATATATATATATATATATGTATATATGTATGTATATATGTATATACATATATATATATATATATATGTATGCATATGTGTATATATATGTATATAT